GAATATTTTTATGAAACTATTTTTTTAGTTAATTTAAAATATTCAATTCTCTTTTTCATATTTATAAATCAATCATATTCTATCCACAATGATGTTTTTTTTTTTTTATTCTACAAATTTTCTCCTTTAAAAACATTATAAAATAATATTTGAATTTTATTCAAATTTAGATTCATCGATAAACATTATGATCAAAAGTATTTTATCAAAAAAAGATCTATCTTAAATCATATTCTAATCAGATCAAAAAATAACTTATTTTAATATTTTCATGTAATTAATTATTCAAAAGAATTAAAGAAAATAGCTTACCCGTAAAAAGTTCTCTCGCTCTTTCTGATGTAAGACTGTGTAAAGCCAGTCCACATAAATTAGGATAATTTATTGAAAGAATACGATCCATAGATGATGATTCAAGATTGAGCCATAAAATTTTATGACGAATTTTAGGTAAAATTTCAACAAAAAATCGATAAAGTATTGGTTCAGCAATTCGGCTTAAATCCTTGCAAGATGCCATAAATGTTAAATATGCTGTAAAAATTGAATCTTGCACAATACTATCAAGTCGTTTATTAACACCTATCAAAGAATAGAGTACATCAGTATTGGACAATTTTTTCAAAATAATCAAAAGAATTTCATCAGGTAAATCATGCAATTGAATAAATGAATTTTCCATGTTTATTTTCACATATGTTTTTTTTTGCTTTTCTTAATACATATATATATATATCCTAATGTCCGTTAGATGACCGATGTCGTCAATGAAAACAATGATAGATTTTTGTATAGTATAAGTTGATCATGAATGAATCAACAAATCATTGAATGACATTTTTTTTTCTCTCTGTTTTTATGTAACATTTAGTTTAATATGTGCCGATAAAAAATAATTAATGAAACTTTTGTTACTTTTTATAATGGAAAATGGAAAATTCTTGTATTTTAAATATCAAGTAAACATTTCAAAAGAGAAAATTGAATTGTTTTTGTGAATTTGAGATTTCATCATATTACAATTTCTGTAAAAAAGACTCTAAATGATATTTATTCATTGTAACATTGGGTTTCCATTAGTATAATAAAGATATTGTTATGACTGGCGTGGTTCTTCAATTTATGAAAAGAACATATTGAAAAGAATATTGATTATCTGTCGCAAGTGAATATATGAGAACAGTATATGAATGTTCTCTGACTCAAATCGTAGAGATGATGACAACGTCTGAGAAGGTAATCATTTTTGTCAAAAATGATATTTTAGATGAAATCTAACACAATGCAAGTTCGAGTTGACATTCATAGAATTACAAATTCGTAGCATTTCAATACAATATATTAGCAAAAGCATGAAATTCACATGATAAAAAACACAATTATTAGATGAGCAAAAGACAGTTTCTACTAGAATTAATACAAAGGAAAGACGAATAACATGATTCAAAAGAAATCTTCTTGAATATGATTTAACTAATTACTAGAAATTTGTTTTAAGATTTAGCCAATAATAAATCATTTTGTGAACTTTTTTCTTATATAGAAATATTCTTTAACAAGTATAGTCAATTACTGATATATTGTGTATGGTATTGGCTTATTAAATATGTAGATGATAATGATAATAATAATTATAATTGATTTGAAATATTTGAATTAAATTTTTGATTTTTAACATTATGTAATTTTTTAGATTCTTTCTAATTGCGTCTTGAATATAATATATTTGTTGATTAATGTGGTGAGGACATTAAC